ACTAGTCTTCAGAACTCTGTTGTAGTCTTATGAATTCTGTAACTAGTATTCAGAACTCTGTTGTAGTCTTCAGACCTCTATAACTAGTCTTCAGACCTCTATAACTAGTCTTCAGAACTCTGTAACTAGTCTTCAGACCTCTGTAACTAGTCTTCAGAACTCTATAACTAGTCTTCAGAACTCTGTAACTAGTCTTCAGAACTCTGCAACTAGTCTTCAGAACTCTATAACTAGTCTTCAGAACTCTGCAACTAGTCTTCAAACCTCTATAACTAGTCTTCAGACCTCTGTAACTAGTCCTTGGACCTCTTTAACTAGTCCCACACATCTGCCACATAACCAGGTGTTCATCTGAAAGTGTCTTTGCAACCCCCCTCTACAATGGACTATTCCATGAGTGCATCCACGAAAGTGATTCAGGATGTAAACAGAGACTGACGAGAAGTGTTGAGCAAGTTCACACTTAAAAAGAACTAGTTCAGTTCATACAGATGAAAATGAACCAGTTCACATTAATATGTTCCATTTTTTGTTGGGATTCAGATGATGATCATGTGTTTAATTATTAATCAATGGTGTCGGATCATGAATCTGAGATAATGTATATTATGATTTCATGCTATACAAATAAAATTGAATTGAATTGAATCTGTGTCCCTCCGGTCACTTAAACACTGAGTCCTGTGTGTGTTGCCTCTCATGTGGTTCTGAGCACACACATTATGTATGTTCATAACTTTCATGACGTTTAAATGAGTCTCAAAAACCCTGGAATCAAAGTGAGAGTGTTAGTTAGTTAAAGTGAGAGCAGCTCAGAGAGGAGGAGGAAACAGAATTAACTAGTGATGGTGTTAGTTAGTTAAAGTGAGAGCAGCTCAGAGAGGAGGAGGAAACAGAATTAACTAGTGATGRKKKTWRKTWKAGTTWTAGTTARGWCYCGGACCTGCTGCTTCATGAACGAGTTCTGATCTCACACACACACACACACACATTTTCACTCGCTCCTGGTATTTCACATGATAGCCTTTACGATGATGATTAAAAAAACGGGACTGTTTTTAAGAGAAATACATGAAAATAAAATGGGTGATCATTTTTAAAAGTACATTTTGATATTATTTCTGTAACTCCATAATTGACCTCCTATTTCGTTGTGTGTTATCTTCTCACTAAATTACAACAAGCTATAAGACAGAGGCTTAATCAGAGATCCTATTGTTTATGAAAATAAGATTTTACTGTGAGTGCATTTGTTAAACTGTGAATATGTTTTGTTGAGTTGGGGAGAAGTTACAAGTAGGACTTAGATAAATAATATCACAACGTATGTGGAGGGCCCCATGCCTGTGTTCACCTTGGGCCCCTAAATTGTTAAATCTGCCACTGCCAACAACTACACCCCAACACACCCCGACGCACACGGACCACGAGTGCCCGACCATCTCTGCTTACAGCTTTAATTTAAAGTGTGATCGCATTATAATTAATTTACAATGAATACTTATTTTGCTGCTCTTCAATAGCCTGACCTGTGATTGGCTCGTAGTGCCTGCAGCTCCGCCTTCAGTCTTTGTGTGTCGTCCAGTGCCCCACCTCCCTCTGCCTGACGCCTCAGCAGCTCATCCTGGTGGAAAGTGACATTTTAACCCGTCACAGGTTTAGATCAACAGATGACAAATGACAGGACAAGTCGCTTTAAACACAAAAAACTTCATGATGTCAGCAAGGTGCTTCAGAGAGAGAAGCCGATTGGCTGAGAGCCCCCATCAATCTTGTTTATTTTATTGTTGTGTTTGAGGGATAATGCGGCAACAGCTATTTTTCTGGTAATGGTTCAATAAACCAAAACCAAACCTCTCCTCCCCTACCGGAGCTGCTAGTACAGTTGCAGGAAATGAACCTGTGAGCCAACAGTTACAGGACGGTTTATCTCACTGTGTCTTTGGTCAAACTGTGAGGAGGTGTGACTCCTGCAGGGATTACAGACCTGATTGTGCCCCCCCCCTCCTCTATGTTAATTAAAGCCCTCAAGGTCTGTGAGTATAAAGTGAGACATCAAAAGAGAAACCAAACCCGGAGAGTCAATATGTGTTTTCTCCAGCCGGGCTGGAGGAGATGCTTCAAAAGAGCCGCTCAACTTATTAATCAGAATAATTTCCAAATGAGATGATGAGCAAGCAGGAGCGACGGTGAGGCAACCTTTCACATGAGGAGTTAAGGTCAGCACAGGAGGAGGAGGGTGGCTAGGATGCAAAGGTGAGAGTGGGAGAAGGGTGAGGAGGACCTTTAATAATCACATAGGAGGAACAGGACGATGGAGAGGATGGGAGGAGTTCTTTAGGATGGGGAGATGAGAGTGGAAGAGGGGTGAGGAGGACGGGAGGAGTAAATGACCTTTAACATAAGGTGTTAAAGGAACAGTCAGCTGACATATCTTTGACCTCAGTGTTTTCACTTCAGCCCTTATTCAACATAAGTTCTGGTCCAGAGTAGAGTTCAGGTCCAGTTTAAAGTTCTGCTTCAGGTTTGAGTTCAGGTTAAGGGTTGAACTCGTGGTTTGGGGGTTTGTAGGCTCACCGGCTCTCTGGCTGGCTGTCGGTGAAATTATCGGCAGCTGCTGTTTCTGTGTGAAATTAAAATCTTTAATCCTCTGGAGTCTCCTGACTCATTAAAGGGCGACAGCTACATTCATCACAATTTTAATTTATTTCAGAGGAAACAGACACAGTCGCAGCTGCAGGAGGAAAAACTGGGGATTCTATAAATCTAATGATTTGACTGAGGATCTGATACCAGCTGATCACCAACATAAAGCTACAGATCAATAACTGAAGAAATCCATGTTGGAATTATCAATTTATGTACTGACATCTAGGTTTTTCTCTTAAATAAATAAAGTTAACAATCTTCTCCAACGATAATCCACACCTTCTTCCATGTGACCATAGATGGGGTTCAACTGATTTATTGTGATGTTTACTGATTAGGAATATGGTCAGACCTTTTCCATCACTGCAGAACATCATCATGTCATCTTAAAACATGTCGGGAGTGAGCGGTCTGCAGTCAGACAGATGTTCTCCTCCAGCTGCAGCAGCTGGAATCAACAATTCTGCTGTGATTGGCTGAATTGTGACAGGTCTTATATTTGGATTCTAAGAAATTCTGATCTGGTTTATCTCTCTCCAAACAGTATGAGAGAGAGAGAGACAGAGAGAAAGAGAGTCAATGTCACTGACAAAAAAAAACATCATCAATGATCTAAATGTCTTTAACTTCATCATCTAGGGGGCAACAGGGCACGCACATGTTGATATTGCGATGATGTTAAATTTCCGATATATTATGCGGCCCTAGCATGTCCTGTTTAAATAAGATGCAGAAACACTCGTCCAGGTCTTTGACACATCCAGACTTGATTATTGTAATTCCTTATTATCAGGCTCCAGCAGTGAGTCGTTAAAGACTCTGCAGTTTGTCCAAAATGCTGCAGCACATGTCCTGACAACAACCAGGGACAGAGACCACATGTCTCCTGTATTAGCTTCACTACAAAGGCTTCCTGTTACATTTAGAACTTAAAGTTCTCCTCCTCAACTACATGAATGATACGGCAGCATCGACCCTTAAAGGGCTCATAGTACCATATCACCGCTAGAGCCATGAGCTCTCAGAATTCAGTCTGTTGTCCCTAACAGGTTCTGTCGGGTCGGTCTGTGTAATACTGTAATACTGTGATACTGTAATACTTTAATACTGTAATACTGGACTCAGTTCAACACGAAGATCACAGATCTATAGAATCTATATGATGAGTCATCATCATGGGACAGGAAACCATCACAGTCACTAAACACTTGTTTCCTCCTCATCCTTCTATCACGTTCTCCATTATCAGTGTCAGTGCTTCATCACACAGTAACTATATATCTACAGTAATTAGATTACTCCACACATCAATTCAATTTGTAATGCACCAAATCCTAACATCCATGATCTCCAGACTCTTCACAGAGAAGGTGAAGAGCTTCAGATCTTCTTCATCTAGAGAAACCAACAGGTGAACCATGAGCAGCACTTTGAGACTGTGGAGGAGAAACTCCCTCATTAACAAAGAGAAACCTCAAGAACCAGAGTCAGAGAGGAGACATCTGCCTCCACCAGGGGAGGAGAGAGACATGGGGAGGAGAGAAGAGAGAGGGATAGTGGGAAGGGGGAGAGAGAGGAGAGAGATCGGGAACACTGGAGCACCATCAGGTATCAGATCTGACTAGTTCTAATGAAAACAATAAAGTGTAAAGAAGTTATTGATTATTATTGATAACAGTCACAATTCATATAATAATGAATTACTGAAGTGTTGTTGTTAATAATTATAATAATAATAGTAATAGTTGTTGTCCTGCAGTTCTGGAGTCAGAGATATCTGCAATGAGAGAGAGGGAGAGAGAGAGAGAGAGAGACTATGGGAGAAAAAAGTGACATAGTTGTTGACATGTATTAAAATAAATGAATGAGTGTGGGGGGGGGGGCAGAGAGACAGAGAAAAGTGGAGAAGTGCTCAGTGCATGATGGGAGTTCTACCAGCAATCACTGAAATCCTCACCTCCACTCTGGGACAATAGAAGTTTGAAAGAGTATAGTATTTTATATAAGTGGTCTTCACTGCAGCTGATGGTCATGTTCACTGCAGGAATTTTACACACACACACACACACACACACACACACAGTTGTACTTGGTGATACAAGCGCAGTTTTATAGAAGATATTATTAAAAACTAGTATTCCTTGGTTCTGTAACTTCAATTTACCATAATTTGCTTACTAAAGGGATAGCTCACCTACAAATAAAAATTCACTAATTATCTACTCACCACTATGACGGAGTTACCTCTTCTTCAGACATGAAAAAAACAACAGAAAAACCAAACTGCTCATGTGGTGTCATCCAAGTGTCCGGAAGCCCCGAGATTCAAATTCAACTCCAAACAAGGTAATTTATATCATGTTTTTAGTCTAAATGTGATCCTCCTCTGAACTGCGTTCATATTCACATGCACACAATGCACTCAAGCTCTCACAAGGGGTGCGTGTTAGCATTGCCACGTCCGCTAGCATCACTACTTCCGGTAGAGGATATTAAGGCTGAAAACATTGTGTAACTCCATTACACCATGGCTAAGTTTTTTGGTAGTTTTCCTCTTGTGAAGTTCAGAGGATATCGCACCTTGTTAAGATCTATGAGACGGTGAATATGAGACTATACTGATACAATTTGATCTTGACTTACTGTCCGACTTGTCTGTGTTTTTAAACTCCACTCCTGCAGCCGCCAGCAGCATGTTGGCATCTGACCTTAGACCAAGTCCATGTAACCATCTAACATTTCTAACCAGCATGCATCACATTAGGTCAAACGCAGCTTCTGTTTGAATAACAGGTTGCCATGACAACAGAGAAGATATCCCATCCTCACCATTCAACAAAGAAACAGAGAGTGTGTGTTTCTACCTTGGTCGTCCTTCTCTCTCTCTCCCGAATAAGATCCTGTTCCAGACGTTTGAACTGCAGAGAGAGACACGTTCAGGGTTATTGATCTGATTATCAATGAACTGATTATACCAACTAAAATAAAACACCAAATGATCCTGAAGTATTTCTTCATATAAAAGTGCAGACCAAAGTTCATTTAACAACTACTGCCCTATTTCTGCTTTTCAAAGATAGAATGATGAACCATCTGCAGGAGCCGAACACCCTGTATGAACATCAGTATGGATTTATAAAAAATTATTCAACATAAATGGCAGTCCTTCAACTGGTTGACAAATTTCTGCATTTTCAGTTTGTCTGCAACAAAATCTCAAAATCAATTGTCATCATCGGCAAACTTCAAAGTCTGGTCCATCATTTACATTTAGGGCATTTAGCCGACACTTTTGTCCAAAGCGACTTACAATTATAACATTTGTCACAAGAGAGAAACCACAACATCACCATTGATGGGGTAAAATGAAATATAGAAATAATTGTCAAGCCCTCCTTTTAGGATCATAACTGCTATTTGTGAAAGATTCTTTAAGTGCATAAGTGCTATGATTGAAGTGCTAATCATATGAACATACAAGTGCATACGTTTTATTTATTAATTTTTTTATTTTTTATTTTTGGGGGGGGGTTGGGAGGGAGATGAAGTCTGAACAAATGAGTCTTGAGTCTTTTGCGGAAGATGGAGAGCAATTCCGCTGTCCTGACATTGGTCGGGAGTTCGTTCCACCACTGAGGGGCCATCAGAAATGTTTCTTAACTGTTTAAGTGTAATTTATCCTTATCTGACACCAGATATAGATTACCATATCATTTGGGGAGCCTCCAACTCACCTTGAAAAACTTCATATTTAGCTAAAAAGGTTTTGCAGAATAGTCACATTTAGCAGGAAGGCTGAGTCCCCCTCTATTTAATCAGCTTCAAATTCTTACAAGTTTTTACATAAACATTAGGGCTGCGTGATATTAGAAAAACATGCAATATTCGATAATATCGCAATGACGGTATGACTTATAATTAAACATGAAGCTCCACAGCCGGGAGAAGATGCACAGCCTGGCCACCAACAGGCCACCAAGTCAGGGGCAGACACCAGGGAGCCATGCGCAGCTCCACGAAGTCCATTTACAGTGTTCATTTTGAGTCTTTTCGTACATGTTTGGACTGTGAAATTATTTTATTTTTTTACAGTTTAAGGCTCCATCATTAATTTGCATCCTTTCTTGTATCTCTGTCATTCGAGCTGTATCAAACCAAACTAGGCGACACCATCTCCTCCTGCTCCACATTTCTTTAGTTTACAAAGTCTGTTGTTTATACCCAGACTGAGTTTATACACGTGTCCAATCCATAGGTCCGTGTGTGTGTCTGTTGTGATTAATTGACCCGTCAATGATCTGACTGTCTTTAACTTATCATGTAGGTCAGCAGGGCTCCATCTGATTGGTCAATGATAGATTTTCAACATATGGTGCAGCCTTAATAAATACATATAAAACTTGTATTTTTATTTACAAAATTCTGCATGTGTGCTTCAATTCCCATACAGATAAAGTTGTTTTTAGTCTAACTGTGATGTACATGTATAATATGAGAAATGTCAAATGTATCAATTCTATCAGATATAAAGGGGCTCAGTTATGGAATCATATAATCTGTAAGAATTTCAAATATAAGCTGAACCCAACTATCTGAAATGGTCTCTCTGGTGTGTCTTTATGCATGTGTTCAAGTGAATACATATGATCTGATCATCAATGATCTGTTTTTTGAGCATTGGATCAAATCGACAACCTGCGTGTGAGGGCGGAGTCAGATTTAATAATGTTTCCTGGAATATTAAATGTGCAGCTTCATATAAGATAGTCAGAGAGAGCGAACGGCAGGGAAACCCCTCCCCCTGTTTCCTAATATTTCCCAGAAACCTTGGCGGCTGCGGGACATAATCCCTGAGAGATGAGGAGAGGGGCGGAGGAGGGGGGAGGGATCTTCCAGCGTGGAGTGCGCTCTCTCTTCTTCTCTTCTGAGGATTACGGCGCCGTTTGAGACATATTTCAGCGCGGCTGCGGAGCGAGGGCGGGATTAAAGTGTTAGCGTGGAGGGGTGGTAGCTAAAAGATGGAGGAGCAGTGAAATTGGTGGAGGTTAGTGACCGACAGCTGAGTGATCACTGACAGATACGTGTTTAACCCAGAGTGTGGAGGGTTGATGCAAAAACTCCTTCAAGTACTGCATCACTTCTACAAGTACTGCATCACTCCTGCAAATATTGCATCACTTCTACAAGTACTGCATCACTCCTGCAAATATTGCACCACTTCTAAAAGTCCTGCATCAGTTCTACAAGTACTGCATCACTTCTACCAAGGACTGCATTACTTTTACAAGTGACTTCTACAAGTACTCCTTCTACAAGTACTACATGACAACAATTATTGCATGACTTCTACAAATACCGCATCACTCCTACGAGTATTGAATCACTTCTAAAAGTACTACATCACTTCTATGAGTACTGGATTACTCCTACAAGTATTACATCACTTCTACAAGTGCTGCATCACTCCTGAAAATATTGGATCACTTCTAAAGTCCTGCATCACTTCTACGAGTACTGGATTACTCCTACAAGTACTTTATCACTCCTACAAGTACTGTATCACTCCTGAAAATATTGCACCACTTCTAGAAGTCCTGCATCAGTTCTACAAGTACTGCATCACTTCTACCAAGTACTGCATCCCTTCTAACAAGTACTGCATCACTCCTACAAGTACTGCATCACTTCTACGAGTACTGGATTACTCCTAAAAGTACTGCATCACTTCTTCTTGCTGCACTTAAAGAATCACAACATCCCTTGTCCTCTGCTTCCCAGACAACTGTTGCTCTGGTTACCGTGCTGCTGGAGATCTGTTGCCTTGGTGACAGTGGTCTGTCAGTCACAGTGAGGGAACAGATGAAGGCTCCTGATTGGATCTTCATTTGTGACATAATCGGGAGGAGTGTCTTGAGTCCACCACCAACCACAAAGCATGCTGGGAGTCCCCCCCTCTTCTGTCATTTCTCCATCACTCATCTTTTTTCATTTCCCCCCTCCCCTTCCTGATGCTCCCAGAGAGTGGTATATGAATCCAGATGAATTGTGGGTAATAAATCCAGCTCTCTGCAGGTTTTTGTAATAAACTCGATAATAATCAGAAAAGAGACGGGAGGGAGAAAGTCTGGCTTCTCTTCTTCAGCCTTTTAATCAGTTTCTGAATCTTCACTCATTGATTATTTATTGACACTTAATCTACAAATTATTTGTTTTCATAGGCCTGAAAGAAAATGTCTGATCCATAAACTAAGTCACAACAGAAAAACTATAGCAAAACATATTAAACTAATCCTAAACATGATCATGACAGTTCATCGATCAATATCTATGATCAGTTATCACCAATCTGGAACTGATCACAGCCAGAGAACAAAAAGCTTCAACGTCACAAAGGTTCCCATCAACCGTGTAAAAAATTATCAAGTCAGACCAGAAGTTCGTCTAAAGAGACATTAGTCTGAAGAAAGAGACATTCAAGGGACGTTCATCTCAAGAGACATTAGTCTGAAGAGACGTTCAAGAGACATTTATCTGAAGAGACATTAGTCCGAAGAAAGAGACGTTCATCTCAAGAGACATTCAAGAGACGTTCATCTGTACGTCACAAACCAACTTAGAGACAGAGTTCCCTGCAGACACACTGCAATGTAATGTTGACATGATACTTAATACAAAATATATACACACACACACAATATATATATATATATATATATATATGTTCCTAAACACTTCTGCAATCCTAAGCACTTGCAATCAAGTAACGACTAACAACCCTCTGCACATCTGATTCTTGCCTGTATGCACTTTATTTGTCAATGTGACCTCATACATGCTCCATATAGTTAAAGTCCAAGCCTTTGAATGTATATAGCCTTAGTTTTGTATTGTTTTGAATTTGACTCTTTATGGTAGCTCTTTTTACCTTTACACCTATATATAGAAAATACTATCAGATGTGAGACCATTACATGAGTCCTTCCAGAATCCATCTTTCTTCAGAAATGCAACAGCTCAGATGATTCACATATTTATTTTTTTTATGTTTTCTTTATGACTCATTTTTGTCGTGCAGACGTGCCCCCCCCCGCCCCTTTTGAGTGTGCAAGGTATACAATCTGTGTTTCTGAACTCCCATGGCAACCATAGTGTCCATCAATCTCTATTGACATCACAACTAGTAGTTTGTGGTTTGGACATTTGAAAACACAACGTTGCTTCTGCACAGGAGTCACATCAAAAATATTAAAATATGAATATTATCAATATATATATATATATATATCAAAATAACAGAGTATATATATCAGAGGTCTAGACAGAGACAGGTGAACAGTCAGACAGGTAAGTCACCTTGGCAACAGAGCCATCTCTCTCCTCCATCACAGCCTTCATCTCCTGTGCAGTGATGTCATTTCGACGTTGCTGAGCCAAGCGCAGACGCTGAACCAGCACTGAACCAAATTCCTCGACTTCCTGGGCGGAGTCAGCATCACAGACACACTGAAGAAGCTCGTCAACATCCTGTTCACAAAAAATATTGATCATTTGATCAATATAATCAGACTTTAAACATAAAACCTTTGAGACAACAGAGTGTTTTTACCATGTCAGTGTCGTCCAAGTTTATTTTCTCCAACCTGAAAACACACAAGAGTTTCAGTGTATATTTTGAACTAGGTTTAATATTTGTGCTGTTGTGTTTATGTGTTTCCTCTGCTCATGTTCATGTCGAAAAACACAAATAAACACCTGAATAAAAACTACCGACATCCAGACTAAAAACTACAAACACCCACTGTACATTTAAATGTAAATTTACACAAGTTGAACATGATGAAAGACCGTGCTCTGTGTTTGATCTTATTTTTTGGACTAACATTTATAGCTTTGTACTAAATCAAGACTCTTTTGATGTGACGCTATCCTTAAGATTTTATTTTCTTCAATGGTTTGTGGAATGCTTGGTGAAAAAAGGTGAATTGGAGCCAAAAGTTTTCTAAAGCAGCCTCAACCAGACCCCCCCCCCCAGCATTCCCACTGCTAACCTAATGAAACCTGGATCTCTGCAGCAGCTTGATGATCTGAGCATCGTAGCTACAGCAGCTGTGCTGTAATTTGGTCCTATGCTCCCCGAAGTCCACCTGAAACTTTATCATTTTAAAATCACTGTGAAGCTGTGAGGGCCGAGCGGACGGACTGCTCTCTGCTCTGGAGTTTATTTCTCACACAGTCATAACGGTGGACGTGGTATTGGTAACTAGCTGATCTCCTGCCTCTCCTCCTGGGAAGCTCTTTTCATTTAGCCTGCTGCTGTTTTGCTGTAATAAACTGTAATAAGGTGGCCGAGGCGAATCCACTCTGCAGGGAACAGCAGGTAATGAAAGACCGGCCGCCTCCAATAAAGCTCCTCTAACACCCTGCTTACAGCCCATCCAGCTCGGCTCAGCTCGGCTCGGCTCGGCTCGCTCCACAGCCGTCATTAACTCTCCCACTCATACCTCACTCAACAGAAACACTGCTGCACACCATTACTGGAATCAAATCTGAGTACGAATAAATCTTCATTTATTGTTTCTCAAAAGTTTCCCATCAGACTGAATATTTCACATTTCTAGACAAACTTCTGTCTTCACCTTGACTTTTGAACTGATTTAAAACAATTACCAAAAAAACGATACGTTTCTCCACATCAAGACAAGAACGATACGATGAGGGTTTAAAGATTATTAGGATCAAAAACAAGAAACTTGCGTTTTGGGATTTTTTTACATGTTTTTAGAAAAACCTTTGTCAAGCATCTAAGAATCGTCATCACCACCACATTCATCATCATCCTCATCATCCTCATCATC